CCTGTATACGGGAGATTAATTTCAAGGTCTGCGTGCTTCTTGCGAGACTGCATGGGGTATAGATAATATTACAGATATTACTGATGTTTCGAATAATAGTTGGCTCGTTGATAAGTTACTTCGGTGTCAAGGTAGTTTCTGTAATAAAACCTATATGCAGAGAGATCCTGTAAGAAAGAAGATCATGGGACTAAACTAATGTCTTAAAATAGTTACGTTTAAGCTTCATATTTTTTACTCTTTCGTTGTGAAGAAATTCCTTTTAATGAATGCTATCGATTTCCGATCCTTATATCCTGAAAACACAAAAGGTTCTAAGATTATAACCCCTATTCTTATAAAAACATGATGGGCTGAAACAAGAAAATGCCATGGTCATTTAGTGATGCGATGAGAGAAAATAGGTACCGCTTAGACTGTAACTGTAACGAATCAAGATGTAACCGTTCATTGAAAACACCGTTTATACAAGTAAATGAGACGAACATACGGTATGTTTAAGTGATCGTTTTCGAATACTTGAATACAACAACTGCACAAACGTCATCCGACATAAGAATGTCAACAAAAAGCTTTTAAGTTAAGCACTCATTCGAAAGTTAAGCATATTCCGTTTGAAAATAATTAATTATGTAGACCTATGTAAAATTCAGTTTGTTGTCCGTTTTAAATGTGCATGCGGTTCATCTAAGTAATGTTATCCTATTGGCATAATAACGAAGTATGGGCAGACGTAATAAATCAAAAGTTCGCCTGCTTTCGCTACACGTATTTAAACAACGAGACAAAAGGTGGAAGAAACGATCGTTACAGATTCACACACAGACAAAGCACAACATTTGGCATGCAAGCTGTCTCAGTAAGTTCTGCTTCATTTTTTACCAGGTCATTAAGGAGCGTATTGACTACCTGCACTGCTTTGCCCTGCTACTACTGTAGTTGTTCAGGTTTGTCAGGAACAGGAACGTCAGGCCATTGAAACGATGAACGTTGAAAGATAGCGAATTATTTCCTTAAGTCTTCTGTGAAATCTGCGCAAAGGAAGCGGATTTCGACTACAGACTCAGTTGAAAGATTTACAAATCCCAGTTAACATCTGACAGCGAGCTACGTCTGAAACTTAAGGTAGTGGAACCTCATTCGATTCTAAAACAAACAACTAGCATATCGCTTATATGTACGTCAGGACATGAATATCTGACAAGGATGAATAAGTGATAGAAGATCTGCGCATAAACAGGAACTGCTACTTCTACACGTACGACGTAGTAACTGTTGAAAAGTTGGAAATTGCGTATGACAAATCGATGACGTTTTCGTGCCAAGAAAAACGGTTCGGAATGGTCATCACAGCAGACAGCAGTGTAGCGACCGTAGCATTAATTTAAATTGTCTGAACACCGACTGAGTATGAAGTACAATGACAGATATTAACGTTTGTCCAACAAACAACTGTATGATGTTAAAGGTAACGCCAACAATATTGGATGTCTTCACGTCTGTAAGCAAATCTGGATGCCACGAAGATTTATGCAGTCGAAACTTCAATGTAATTTGCATGAGAATTATTGTCTGTATTCATACCACCAAAAAGCATTTTTATAAACAAGACCAACTTAATGCTTACAATAGGGCAACCGCAGGAACACTGATCTGAAGGGCAGCAGGTAAAGGATATTAATCTTTCAACAGAAGAAGTCACCGAAGCTGATAAAGGCTTAAATATTAGCAAGGCTGCTGAAATCGAAGAAATCTTCTCTGAGATGCTTAAAGCTTTAGGCAAACAAGGCATGTCCTGGGTCACACGTGTCTGTCACACTGCGGTCTCTCAGCGGTCTGGAGAACAGATTGTTGTACCCCTGTTTAAGAAGGTAGACCACAGAGAGTGCTCCAGTCATGGGGGCATTACTTTATTGAGGCCCCTAGGAAAAGTCTACGCAAAGATGATAGAAAAAAGGTACTGCGGAATGACTGGCTTTAAAACACAAGAGGACCAGTGTGGCTTCAGATCTGGCCGAAGCATTTCTGACTAGATCTCCACCTTATGTGAGATTGTCGAGAAATCTTGGGAGTTCGCTCATCCGATTTACATGTGCTCTGTTGACCTGGGGAAAGCTCTTGACCGGATCTCGCGCCATAAACAATAAACGTACCTGCAAACATCACTTGCTACGAACCAACCAGTCACTGCATAATGATAGCACGTGCTGTCTCGGCATTAAGTCGAGAACTTTCAAG